TCAAAAACAGAAAAGCTTCTAAAGTATACAGGCTCCGAAGCAAGTGCTGGTTTGATATGTTGTTGTTTGATAAATCTAAAACATTCCACGAAGCAAGCATTTAACGAGTTCCTTCTGAAACATAGCTTTGCCGAGTATCTTTTGGAAGTATGAATTGAACTAACGTCAGTTTGATAAAAATTGTCTACGAGTTTTGGAAGTTTTCTCCACATATACTGTTCACAAATTATCAAATATATCATATTACATCTTCATCTAGTTTTTGTCAAACAAGAAAATTGCCATGAAACATATATTTTACAACAAAACATAAAACAAAGTGGCTAATCAAGGGATTATGTGAAAATCCCATAGAAAGATCGTGATCTGTATATGTTAAACTGAAAACACCCAATGTTGGTAAAACGAACGGTTTATCCAACACCTAGCATATGTCCGTCATATTCTGTAGGTCGGAAGATGCAGTAGTTATGAAAAAATGAAAACTAGCTATATCCTCTTATAATGATGGCGATACATTCTTTTGTAAAATGACCGCTTTGTTTCAGACACCTCCCATGTACTTCCGGGTCAATATATAAACGACTACGATTATGATGGAATGATAGATGAAGATTGTGGCATTAAACTGACCTGAAAGCTCTCAAACCATTTTTTCTTTACAAGTCTTATAGTTGTACAATGCAGAAAGTTAACTCTTAATGCATCTACATCTAAATATTTTAAAATTAGTAAAGATTCATGGCAATGTGTGAAGCCATTTGATAACTTGATACAGATAGATGTTCGGTTGGTGCAGTGAATAGCAAATTTGCCGTTTACAAAGGCGGCCGAGGTTCGACTCCCTGATCAGACGTGAAAGGTATTCACATGCCCTACCACTTGGTTTTTCGCCGGGTAATCCTGTTTCCTCCCACAATAAGACCCCCGACACGCAAACATCCGGGCCACATGAGTGATGATTTATATAAGTTTAAATTACTTGTTTCATAATTGTTGTAAAATAGTTTTTATTATATATTCATATCTAATTTGATTAAGCGTCATTCAATCTAGTTTAATATTTGTTAAATACAATATGATATGCTTGTACATAATTATATATAATTATTTGGCTCATTTATATGTATATGTGTGCTCTGACATGTAGCATATACTTGTTTACGTAGATACACTATCGACAGCAACAACGATGGAATCTATTTTGATGATAACGACATCGGAAATGATGAGGGCATTATATACCATACCATCACCGTCCATGTTAGCAACAACCACAGTGTTTACCATGCAGCAGGAATTTGATCAGTTATCAGGTACAATTTATCCGAGTTTTACAAACGTCATCCAATCAAGTACGGTCATAATCACAGACAGCGACTTACTCCCATCTTCCTTGGCACCAACGTCCTCAGCTTGTATGCAGCAAGCTGCCTCGCTTACGACGGCCACCTTTGAGTTGTCTACTGTCACAACAAACTCGGAAGGTCAATGTGTTTGTTCTTGTGGAAATGGGTACCAACATGACACTTCCGTATATGCAAATATGACCAGGGAAACACTTCTGAGTCTGTTAGAGGAAACAAGAAAGGAACTGTTCCTGAACAAAGCCTCGCTGTCGTTATACATTCGTAAGAAGACAGCTGCTACGGACAACCGGACCACCGCAAAAGCAATTGGATCTTGTGGAATCGTGTTGCTTGTCTTGGTGCTCGGCTTTATTGTAATCTCTGTCGTTCTCTCTATTGTAAGATTGTAAGATACGTGCAGCAAGCGTACGCATGCCTATTTAACTCTGCTTTTAAATATTTACTGTTTGCGTATTTTGCTGTTGTGCGCTAGCCTACCGACAATGTTTAAGTAACTGTTTGCTAGGTGGTTTTGCTTGCCTATTGCATAATGTTTAAGTATGTATTGAATGCGTGTGTATATTTTGTTAAGCCTCTTATTTCATGGGTTTCGTTTGACTTCCGACCTGCTACACATACTTGGCTTTAACAGTTTTGACAATTTTGATACCGCAAATAATCAGAAGGCAGATTTAAAAACATTTTTTTAAACACCAGTTTTATTACTATGTATTTGTAACCTGAAATACCACCTACTTATAGTATATACAAGTTGAAAAATCACTTCAGCAAATTTCTTGAATGAGACGATATTATTGGTCAGCAAAATGTATCTAATAGCCGATTCGTAACAAACCTAGGGAAGGAAATTCTAAGCCTCCCGCAGAATCTGGTTTCCTATCCTCTCCTTATTGAATGGTTTCATGACATTTTGTGGTTTTGTTTGGATCCCTCATTAGTTTCTATTGTTGTATTTTGCTATACAATTTGAAATTGTATGCCTATGTGTATTTACAAGCTGTAGTAGGTAATCTATTTTACAGTTATACATTTTAGAACTCATTTTATCTGTTTTCTAATGACTATTCGATTTTGTTGTAATCTTCTATGAATATTAATGCTATTGTTTATGTGTTATTCTTGGCTAAAAAATCCAAGAAAGTAAACGGACTATACAAAGTAACATGTTAAAGCTCATGAATCATGAATACTACAATCGATCGCAAACTTGATTTTTATAAATGATACCGTTCTTTTAATCAATCCCCTTGAGTATATCTTTTCTATATTTGAAGATTAAAAATTATTCATAGCTATGATATATTTGTATGTTTTACCTTGACTATACTGTAATGAGTGGCTAGATGTACATATTTAGATATTTATGACTTGCTAGACATTGACTTTGATCAGTTACTGGCTATACATACATTGACTGTGATCAGTGACTGGCTCTACATTGACTATGATCAGTGACTGACTATGCATGGACTGTGATCAGTGACTGCTATATATTGATTGTGACACGTGACTAGCTATTCATTGACTGAGATCTATGATGACTGGCTATACATAGACTGTGACAAATTACTGGCTATAATTGACTGTGACTAGTAACTGGATATACGTTGACTGTGATCAGTGACTGCTATATATTGATTGTGACATATGACTATCAATATAATGAATGTGACAAGTAACTATCTATTTATTGACTGTGACCAGTTACTGGCCATACATTGACTGTGATCAGTGACTGGCTATGCATTGACAGTGGTCAGTGCCTGGCTATATATCAACAGTGGTCAGTTCCTGGCTATACATTGACTGTGATAGTGACTGGCAATACAATGACTGGCTATACATCGACTGTGACCAATTACTGGCTATACATTGACTGTGATTAGTTACTGACTATACATTGACTGTGACCATAGACTGGCTATACATCGACTGTGAACAGTGACTGGCTATACATCGACTGTGACCAGTAACTGGCTATACATCGACTGTGACCAGGTACTGGCTATACATTTACTATGACAAGTGACTGGCTATACATCGACTGTGACCAGTTACCGGATATACATCGAATGTGGTCAGTGCCTGGCTATACGTTGACAGTGATCAGTTACCGGCTATGCATTGACTATAACCAGTTATTAGTTAAACATATTGATTGTGACAAGTGACTTTCTTTACGTAAACTGTGACCAGTTACTGGTGATCAGTGAGTGACTGCTATATATTGATTGCGACAAGTAACTAGCTATACATTGACTGAGATCTATGATGACTGGCTATGCATAGACAGTGACCAGTTACTGGCTATATTTGACTGTGACTAGTGACTGGATATACGTTGACTGTGATCAGTGACTGCTATGTATTGATTGTGACAAGTGACTATCTATATATTGAATGTGATCAGTGACTGGATATACGTAGACTGTGACCAGTTACTTGCCATACATTGACTGTGACTAGTGACTGACTATACGTTGACTGTGATAGTGACTGGCAATACATAGACCGGCTATGCATCGACTGTGACCAATAACTGGCTATACATTGACTGTGATCAGTTATTGGCTATACATTGACTGTGACCAGTGACTGGCTATACATCGACTGTGACCAGTTACTGGATATATATCGAATGTGGTCAGTGCCTGGATATACGTTGACTGTGACCAGTTACTAGCTATACATTGACTGTGACCAGTTACTGGCTATACATTGACTGTGACCAGTTACTGGCTATACATTGAATTTGATTGGTGACCATGATTATTATTTAGTTATTCATTGACTGTGTCATTGACTTGATATACGTTGTTTTGGATAGATTTATCCAAATGTATGTTGAAATGAGAAACTTATATAATGACATAAAAACGTAGAAACAGTGTCATCACCTAAATGTAAAAGAGATATACTTATATCTTCTAAACCTGACTTTGATTTCGAGGTAATTAATTGAAAATAATAAACTAGTAATCCAGCTTGTGCCAGGTATTCCATATCCTATTAGGTCTTGTTAATGTTAGATCATTACACTGCCAAAGTAAATACATGCAGTTAGCAATATTATTTGTAAAACAAATCAATATGCAGCCTGGGGACACAATTAATAGATATACAGTAGTATCTGGTATCGACAAAACATGCATTCAATTTAATATATTCAGTTCAATTCAGTACAAAATATTATTATTCATTAATTATATTCAGTGTCATTCAGTACAAAACAGTATAAATTAAATAGGTTCAGAGAAAATAAAGATATATTCGATTGTAAAAAATCTTCTTAATGACATAAATGAAACACTAATTTCCCTTGTGTAACAGGATAATATTTAATTTTCTGAAACTTAAAATTAAAATGTTATAAAAATAAACAATGCCCGACTTCGTTCAAATAAGTAATTACATGAACAGCTATTCTAAGACAGAATTGGACATTAGATGCCTGTTGTATCTATTTGCGTAATATATGTACTACAGTTGTAATAATGATCAAGTTTATTGGAGTGCTCTCTATCTATTTATAAGGACGTAATATCATGATTAAGAAGTCTATATCAAATAGCTACACTGTTTCAACATCAGTAGTATGTATGTAGGACTAAAATATGAAGTATAAGACCGTTTCTCTTTCGTTTGGTATGAAATTATTTTATTATGTATTTTATATCATGGTACAGAAAATCAAGATATGAAATCATTTTTCGATTTCCATCTCGATCGATCGAGGTAATCACATCAAAGTAGTCGTTTTCCTTCTGTAAAGAAAACAAACAAAACTGTTTTACCTAACATTGTCGTTATGGTATATATATATGAAAAAATAGAGAAAGTTTAGCCATGCTGGTTGCATTTCACAGCGCAACAATACAAAAAAATACCCACCAAAGTATATATATCAATGTACTTTCATGGTTTCAGACATGAAGAGCAATATTACATCATTAACTGAGATTCTAATAAGCATATATATGGGTCAAAGAAATAATATTAAAGGTAGCTTCTCGAATAACACTGATTCCTTGCAAACGTATGTTTGTAGGATACGAATTTCCTAGAATTGTATATGGGCAAGGAAGTAATTCCTACAGTGTAGACAATATGATGTTATCAATTTTTCTAAAATCGTTTGTGTGCAAACAACGAAAAAGAGATTAAAGATGCTGAAGCTGAAAAATGACACGACGATTCGTCCCAAGATGATAATTGGGATAGGCACACACTATGTATCAGTGGTCAACGATGCTGTCAGTGTAAATTCTGCCTTCGGCTAACGCTAGCCGTGGGACTTGTTTACAAAATATCTTAGCTATTTTCTTTTATATTTCTAATATTGTTTTTATGTAATGTAACTGTTAAATAAACATCCCAAGTATAATATACACTGTCACGTTTGCTAGATCTGCTAATGGGTTGAGCAAGAGTCAATAGGAGTGCCCATATGATTACCATAATGTCTTATGTAATCTTTTACACCATAAAATAAAATGTCGACTCGTGGTACTAAATATAGGACGTAACATACTATCATGGTCGTGTAGGCTCTTGGACAGGTGAACATGTACAATGAATGGGATACTTTGGTATAATGATTGACATTTGGGAACCTTAATAAACTGTCAATATTACACAATCAATTACACACATTTGAAAAAGTTTGAAGTCAAGGGAGATTCTCAGATTTCTCTTTTGAAAAACCGGGATTACTTTTGTAAATATATAGTGTCGCAATGGTATGAAAGTTACACTGTTTATTGTTTCGTATTTATTTTCAACATCAAACTACATTAGTAAGTAGTCGATGAAGTCGATAGACAGTATTTTAAATGAAATACTAGTACCCTGTAGTAGTTACATAAGACATACTCTGTCGTATTGCATGCCGATCGATTAAGCCGCATTAATTCCTGTAAGTGTCAGTCGGTATTATCCCGTTTTGTTTCCACTGAAATAAGTGTCTCATATATGAGTTTTCTGAAGTAAGGATGCACTCCATAGAGGGGAAATCAACGGTGTAGTTCTGAATCGTTTAGAAACCACCACTCTTTGTCCAGTCCATGATCTACATGCTGGTTTGAAGGAGAACTCAGTATTGTTGTGGACTGTGAAGGCCAGCCACATCTGTTGTTATATCCGGGACATGTAACACTTCATTAGGTGCTCGCCATTCTCGGTACAGCCCAGGAGTAGGGGACATCAGGTATTGCATTGATCGGTTAGTGGACCATCCAGTAACCGGCTCCAGAGGGGTCAATACCTGTATGACCTGTCTGTAATACAAGGTTTGGTATTAGGATAGGTATCACTCACATGGTAAGTTCTAATTGGGGTATCAAAAATGTTCTCTTAACTTTAAGAACTTTGTCATATTTTTTAAACAGTTTTGCCTTCAAAAAAATCCTTTAACATCTAACGAAATGGGAATTGCGTATTGTTTTATGTAATTTGCTGACAAAGGAAGCCTAACAATTAAAATAGTGAAAATATTAAAAGAAAAAACAGAAATGATTTAGTTAATGATTTTTTTAATGGTAAGAGAAAGGGAATTTGTGATATCAGGGTCATCTTCAACTTGTGAAAGCTGTTTTACATAAATAAAATCATGTCAGATGTATAGTGTAGCTAGAGAAATCTGACCTTTCACATGTGACGTCATTAACATGTAAGTGGTTCAATCAAGATGTCAAATGTGATCATCTGACATAGACCAAAGATAGTAACGTTTACAAATTCGCATATATTCTTGCTTTTGTGATCAATTTCTTTTTTCAAAATTTAGAATTCATTCCAACTCATATCAGAATGATGAAACTCGTCCCCACATTTAAGATCGGCAAAGTATCGTTTTATAAAGTTATCATATATTTTTTTCAAATCAAGTTGATTCATTACAAGTGTCAGTAGCAAACTTTACGAACACCTAAAAACAACATTTTAGTGAAGAGAGGAATACACTTTAAATTATATCAGAAATGGACCGCAAAAGTCATGAGAACAGGTTGAAATTCTAATATTTGTGATATTACAACATCAACATGCCAATCAAAACCGAGACTAATAACTGGACTCACCTGTGTTTTGGTGGGACACAGTCCATTGTCATAAAGCTACCTCGTGTGGAGATAAGATAGGAGCTACTAGACGTGTCACACTTTACCTGTCCGTACTGGTCACTCGTTGTGTTCTCCACCACAAATATAGCACCGTACCACCACAGTGCGTACATATTAAGGCCAGGAGATAGCTGTCGTAAATATAAGTATATCCCATTACTTCAGTCATCAAACACTGTATGTTTAACCCGCGTCTTAATATAAAGCTAATACATAACAAACAACCAACTCGAATTTGATAGGAAGAGATATGAGTAACCATGTGATTACAAGATAATGTCGATACCAACAATTAAGCGAAACGAAAAATGTACTAGGGAATTACCAATACAACCATTGATAAAGTTGATGCTGAGAGCCACACAATAATTAAGTTACTGCAGTACATAAACATTTTTTCCATTTGTACTCATTGACATAACTTAACTTTTATCTTTGACAATAGCATTGCAAACATTACACTGTTTATAGTTTATTCATCAAAAAAGAAAAAGAAAAAAAACGAGTTTTTTTATCATGAACCTTCATTTTTGGTTTCTGAAACATGTCGTTGTTAATCAAATGGAAAACATTATCTAATTTTTCATATTAAAAAAGAATCAAGTGCCGCAAAGTTTTGTATTTTATAAACATATTTACTAAAGTAAATGCTAAAATGAAATAAAGGCGTTAATGTTAGTGACCTCTTGTTTGGTTCCCTTTTCAATTGCCAAAAGTATGATGACATCAGCCAGATTAAACTTGCATGTTGGACTGCATGTATCGAATTCGTCCGACTGTACTGACCCAGAGCTGTGTATGGTCAGTACAAAGTCTTTGTTCAAAGCCTCAATCGTAGCCATTCGTAGTGAGGAGGACATAGGCACACCTACGAACAAACGAAAATCATACCCTGACACTAGGAAGACAAAGATACGCCTAGAAACACACCGTATTATCCTGATAGTATAGTCACTGGTCCTATATATGCTACTAAAACTGTTACCTCTAATGATAAAAGCAATATAAATCAATCAAATAATTAAGTTACAAGTACAATAAAAAATCCTTGCTTTTTGAAGCAGCGTTTTTGCTAATATATTAAATATTGATACATCGTTCTTATATTTTAAGTTTATATACTTACCATACATATAAGTTAATCATTGGTGAATATTTTTTTTATACATTTTTTGAAATCTTGCATATAATATATTGTATGTTTTATAAGAAAGCAGAATAATATATTTTCAAGTATGATAGAAAGATATATTATTAAAATTTGGAACTTCAGAAACATGAAATAATAACCTGTCTGCCAGTGTTTGAACGCTAAGCAGGCTACGGTATATGTTCCTGGACCTAGCTCCACCTCACACCCTGTAAACGGTTTCGCTGCTCGACGGCTGTTACATACAACTTTGGACAGTACTTTGTCTTGTGATTTGGAATTCGCCAACACCACAACCATCATATCGACAAATGGTTCCTTCGCTAAGCCCTCACCCCTGTTAAAACAAAACAATAAACAATGTGTTTATTTTAGGTGTACATGACGCCCGAAGTCTTTTATAATGTATAATAAATAATAACACATAACTGGACATATAACGTCTTCATTGTATACCTTACGGTCCTCTGGAACAAACAAAGGTCCATTTTTGTTTTGTTAAAGATGTTTAAAGTGACAAATTTCCAAGGCTGGTCTGCGTGTGGAGGGAATGATCCTTTGATACGAAGTTCGTTCCAGTTCGGTCTGGCTTTACACACCTCGACACTATCAAAGTATCTGTAACAGATGAACATTTACACATTATTCCTGGTTTTACCATTGTATTTCCAATTCTTATATTGCATTACTGTAAACGTATCTTTTGCTCTGTTATCCAGAAACGAGCAATGGAATAAATATACAAGTTTACAGCAAACGTTCCGATACCTTTTTACAGGTTTTGCTTAAAAGTGAGAAAACATGGTACATGTCGGTTTCCAAATCTACAATCATGTATTGAGGACATGCTTTTATTGCGTTATCAGAACTTCGGAGATATTTTACTTCCATGCTCGATCCTAGAACACTATCCATGTACCAGATATAATGATATATATGTATATCGTGCCTAGAATACTATACATGTACATGTACCAGATATAATAATACATATGTATATCGTTCTTAATGCAATATATAAAGGTAAGGGTGCTCAAAATGATGTCTCTAACTATATGCCAATATCTATTACATCATGTTTTAGCAAAATTGTTGAACAAGTTTTTTTAAATATATGTTTAATTATATGAAAGAATGTGATATCATAACGAAACACCAATCAGGCTTCTTACAAAGAGACTCGATTGTAAACCAGTTGTTATCTATATATGACACTATTGTAAATAACTTGAATCCAAATAATGAAATCAGATTTGTATTCTGTGATGTAAGTAAGGTGTTTGATAGAGTTTGGCATAAGGGTTTATTTTTTAAATTGGAATCGTATGGCATAAAAGGGAAAATATTACAATAGTTTAGTAATTATCTTTCTGATAGAAAGCAGAGAGTATCAACAGAATGTGTAACAAGTAAAATGAAACTGTTTGGAGATGATACTTCTTTCAATGAAGCAATAGACAACAATCAAAACGAAATTGCATTGAAATTAACTAATGATCTAGGTTATATTAATGCATGGGCACAAAAATGGGATATCAAATTTAATTCATTAAAAACTGAATCTGTAATCTTCTCGAGGAAAAGGGAACAAAATCATCCAGATATCTTATTTGGTAATGAAACTGTAATTACTAAACAAACTCATAAGCATCTTGGTTTAACTTTTAGTAGTGATGGAAAATGGACATATCATATTGACAATATTTATGAGCTAGCTTATAGAAGAATGAATATATTGAGAATTCTAAAACACAAATTGGATAGAAAAAGTCTTACAACAATATATAACTCTTTTATTAGACCAATACTTGAATATGGGGATGTAGTATGGGATAACTGTAGTAACCAAAATAAAATTATTCTTGAGTCAATCCAGCTAGAGGCATTACGAATTATTACAGGATTGCGTAGAGGGACCTCTCATTGTAAGCTTTATGCAGAAACTGGACTTGAATCACTTTGTTGTAGGCGAAAAAATCATAAATTAGTACTTATGTTCAAAGTTTTAAATAATGAATCGCCTAAGTACCTAAAAGACATCATTGAACCATACCTTTACAACAATATAAATCTAAGATACCCACTAGTAAATAGCCATATTTTCAATCCCCCTTTCTGTAGAACTGAGAATTATTTAAATAATTATTTTCCCTCAACGTGTAGGAGAATTCAACCTTCTATCTGCAGAAAATTTAAATGCTACTTCCCTTCAACAATTTAAAAAGTTCATCAAGTCTGATAATATGAACAACACTAAAGAAATTGCCAGAACATCTAAATACTATGGGCCAATAAAATTCAATATCATAATTTGTCAGCTAAGAAATCATGCTAGCAACCTTAATAGTGGCTTATATATGGATCATCTGAATGACACACCAGCATGTAGATGTGGACATGAAAATGAAAATGCATTTCATTTTATATTTCTCAATTTGGTATAACAGGTAATCATGATCATTTTAATCTAAATACTCTATTAAATGGGTGTTTAATATGCAGCACTGATAACAACAAATCCATTTTACAAAGTATATCTGACTATATTTGTAATCTCACTCACAGCTCAACTTTACATTGAAAGTGATGCTATTATTTATAGTGTCATGTACATTTTTCGGCTGGACTGGATGGAATTTATGAATGTACTATTCTATAACCTGTTCTAACTATTTCATAGTTATATGAATATTCTATAGTGATTTGTTAAATAAATTTTAAGAGAATCAACTCCAATAATAGATAATAATAACTACATTTTCCTATATGAATCCATATCATATTCTGAAATTTTACAAAATGTTTATTTCTTGGTAACTTATCCTATATATCCAGTGGGTGGATAGCCAATGTGTTTATACACAGGGACTTTTGCGCCTGTATCCCTTGGATTTTATGTAGGATGAGTTGTCAACAAATGTACATGATTTATTTAATTGTTAATATCCAAAACATAAACAGAAAATGATTGAATAAAAGTTGGAAAAAAATCCTTCCTCAAGCTAAATTAGAGTTATCTCCTCTGCACTGTTTAATTGGATTGTTATGACAGAATATATGTAATGTTTGTAAATAACGTTTGGAAAGGACTGAAAAGGCCTAGACTGATGTCCAATCCAATTGACATATGTAAAGTCAATAAAATCTGCTGAAATTGAACACTATACATGTACCAGATATAATAATATATATGTACCAGATATAATAATATATATGTACCAGATATAATAATATATATGTATATCGTTCCTAGAATACTATATATTTACCAGATATAAGTTTTTTTTATCATTTTAACGAAACGAACTGTTCATGTAACAGTGACATTAAACCAACAATGTATCATTTTTGCTGACATTCCAGCAAAACATTGTTTCACAAACTTCAAAACCAACCAACTCAATTCTATCGAATTACTGTAGAATTACTTGTTTTGTTTGTTTGGGTGGCTGTGCGTGTGTAGTTCTGTTATCCAGCAGATATATGTATGTCAGTATATATATCACATGGATGTATGTCATTATATATCACAGGGATGTATACAGGGATGTATGTCAGTATATATCATAGGAATGTATGTCAGTTTATATTATTGGGATGTATGTCAGTATGTAACACAGGGATGTAGGCAGTATATATCACTGTTATGTAGGTCAGTATATATAACAGGGATGTATGTCAGTATATATCATAGGAATGTATGTCAGTTTATATTATTGGGATGTATGTCAGTATGTAACACAGGGATGTAGGCAGTATATATCACTGTTATGTAGGTCAGTATATATAACAGGGATGTATGTCAGTATATATCATAGGAATGTATGTCAGTTTATATCACAGGGATGTAGGTCAGTTTATATCATAGAAATGTATGTCAGCATATATCACAGGGATGCAGGTCAGTATATTTCACAGGGATGTAGGTTAGTATACCTCATGAAGTCCGGAAGGCACATCCAGAATATACCCTTGTCATTTCCATCCAGTTGTATGCCTTTCTTCGTCCGCTCACTGATTTGTGACCACTTGGAGGAGTGGTCGGACCAGTTCCCTTTCCAGGAAACCGTGCCCCAGGGATTCCGAATTTTCACCAGACTAGAAAGACATCATTAGCAATTTAATACTTTGGTATAAAGAAATAACAATTTCTTTATCGGTGATTGCAGAAGCAACAAAATGACATACATATAAACTATCAGGATTTTTATTTCATACAATCTAAAGTTTGATAGCATCAGTTTCTAGAATATTCGCCAGGCATGTTGCAAAATGTATGTTCTGTATTCTCACAAATACGTGATGATTTTACACAAAACTAATGGAAGGGGGATAACCTACCTCAGTTTACCATATTCTATCACACTCACCGATTCCCCGCCGCATCTTGTACGTCTAGCAGCGAGTAGGCGTGATTAGGTATCAGCCCCAATGTCTCATAATGTTGTAAATCACTCGACTTCATGTTCAGTGTTCCGCATGACGTACCCATTAAAAACCTTCAACAAAAACACAACCAATGGCGTTTAGCAAAAGGTAAGTACATGTAGATGAATACATGTATATGTGCGTGTATTAAAAGATGACTGATTTCCTATTATCACAGTCTGCGGTATACTATTAAGGAACATATGGTGTGGCAAGGTAATCAATTTCCAAGCTCGTTTTAAAACAGATGTCGCAGTCTTTAACAGAATTTCATGATTAAGTTTTAACAAAATATGCTCAGACATTCAACATAAATAAGTTAAAAAAATACATACTTAGATTGACGGGCCTTAACAAGCTTTGTCCAAATTTTCTTCTCGTCAATTTCTACGTCGTCGTCTTCTTGTTCTGATCGAAAAAGGATTTATTACTGATTAATATTAAAATAAAAGACAAGTGCAGATCGATATCTCTATATGAGAAACCAAAAACTCTGTTTAAGAAAAAAACAGAGTTAGCATTATATCGCAAATAACAGTGATGTTAGACCATTATGTAATGGTATAAATACCGACCAAATTACTGATAGTTTTTATATAAGATATACCTTGGAGTTGTATCCGTTCGCATGGTTCCCCTGTTAACAAAGCCAGCGCTTCGATAGCCCTACCGGACACCAGGGCCTCGTAACAACCATGCAGCTTGGCAGCGGCCTTCTCAATCAGGGGCACCCAGAGCTGTTTTCGCTTTGACTACATTAACAAGGATGTCGTAGGTTAAAAACATTTTACAGTGAGATTTGTGCATTGGCAATCATCGAAATAACTTCAAAAGTGACAGAACGTCTAGAACAGCAACCACTATAATTACATACAATGTACACGGTATAGACGATCTTCAAAGATTATTTTTAAGACAGCTATTTTTCATACTGCAGTACATAAGTGACAATAGTCTATATCTGTAGTAAGAACACTGTTCTTATTTCCTGCTGAAAGAACTGTTGCTTGATTACGTTTTTCATCCTACAGTGCGACGACAATATTGGGATCTGAGACCACGAATTACAACTCGGTAGATTCCGTCCCTACATCAAATAAACGATACCGGAATCAGCCGAGGTTTGCCGATTGCATCTGAGACACCGGAACAACAAACTATGTATGAGAACGGTTATATAAATACATGTCCAGGCCGTGGTTTAACATAGAACGAGAAAAAACAACTTATACGAAAAGTAGTAAACTGTACATAATTACAAACAAAAAGAATTACATGATGTTACGATATAAATTGTATAAAAATGTCGTTTTGAAACCACAAAATGGCTTGAATTGATAACATGCGTTTTTATGTAGGTATCGGTAAACAACTCTCAGATGTTGTAATGCATGATTAATGTACCTTCTAGTGAACAACACTGACCTTGGAGTACAAAAGGCGGTTATATTGATCACATGGAAAGAAGTCATCTATAAGGACGATTTTCCACCTCCCGTCCTTACACAGACGGACATGGTAAGCCCCTTCCTTGCAGAACTGTCGGGTCAAAATAATCTTTTCCAGTAATTCTTTCCTTTCCGCAAGCACCGCTAGAGCACTCAAAAACCTAAATTAGAACAATTAAATCAGACTGAAATTAATCACCAAACCCCCACCCCGGAAGTACTCGTAGTGGTTAAACAATCTGACTACGGATAACCCCTTTTAAGTTAAAATACCGGAAGTAATGTACAAAATTGATATACATTTTAAACATAAAAGTTCAACAATTTTATGCAAAAAAACGTAAAACTAATTAGTTAAAGCAGTGGGTAGAATATTAACGACTTTATAGTAGATGGTAAATGTGAACATTTGTTCTCTCAGACAAAAATGACAAAACATTTGTTCTCTCAGACAAAAATGAAAAAATATTTGTTCTCTCAGACAAAAATGACAAAACATTTGTTTCAGTTACATCAGTTAACGACCAGAAAGATAATCGGGAAACAAACTAATCAAATGTCTACTGATCCGTTTCCTTTTGTACACAGTTGAATGAAGATGTTTCATATCAAATTTAACCGTTTCCCTTAGAGTAAAGGACCAACTCGATACATTTTGGGAAAGTGATAAAAGGAGATTCAAAATAACATTGGAGTTACGTCACATCAAAAACATTGTAATCGACTACGATAAAATAGATATGGACTATGATCTGAATATAGAGGCAGATATATGCTTGCGTCCAGAATAAACTAAGTTACACTAAGTTAAGTAAAAAACACCCATTCGACTGAATATTGTCTAACCGTATACCTACAATTGTACATTCGCACAAACATTTAAGTGACCTAGATTTAACCACAATGTCCGTTCTGGTGGTTTTTGTAGGTGAACAGCATATCCGTAAATTGACCGCTTTATTTGATTTTCAGTTTTGTTCTCTAGATAATCCGACAAGTATTTGGTTGAATAAAATCGTTATCGCTCGGACACTCGAATGTTTGCTATGTACACATTGTGGTCAGCACAGGCACTGACCAATATCAGTACACCGAGGCGTAACCACCCTTATCCTGTGTATGGAGCGGTGTGGCAGAGACCGATCACCGCCTACTGGTATTTACTTAGAAACATGATCCATGTATATGTGTGGGTTTGATATATACAAGTGATAAACAAGTGAAATAGAAGACGAAGATAACCATAACTTCAACAAGAAAGTACAATGACAACAATACCATAGCGCCAAGCGGAAAGTACCGTAACGTTAACAAGATGTACAATTACTTGAACAAAAATATACTTTAGCGTCGCCAGAAAAGTACCATGGTAAAAAGAGAAAAAGTACCATAGCATCAGACGAAAAGTATCATAACATCAAGACAAAATTACCATAACATCAAAACAAAATGACCATTACTTTATGAGACAACATAATGTAATTATCAAAACACTGAAGGGATTCGGGTCATTTGCTAATAAATAGACCGTATGTTAGACGTTACGAGTATACATGAGATCTAAATTACTAATTATGTTAAGTATATTGTTTTGGCATTGATAATCAATAGTAAATTTCAAAATGTACCTCAAATTGGTATGCAGTGCTCGAGTGGTATACATGTATTTGCGTTATTGTTATACTGACCAGCAGTTTCCAAGACGACCTTGACCTATATCGTCAGCCAATGGATTCGACCGATAAACAGCCCAATCATCTTTTTCTTCTGTGTTGTCTTCTGTTCGAATATCATGGCATCGAAGCCATGTTGGATTGTTGCTGGTGACACGTGGTCTAGTGTACAATGACGAAACATTGGGTGGGAACTGTTCGTCAACAAACATGGAACCATTCTGTAATACACAATAATAGATATTTAATAAAAAAAAAAAAAAACAACAAAACATCCATTGGCTTAATAGTCACTTCATATTTATAAAAACTCTTTTATAAACGTCATCATTAGTAATACATATGTCTATCACTTTGTAATCCACATCAATAACACATAAATGTTTTCCAATACCATCCTGCATACTTTCTATACTTTCTCCATATAATGGTCTATCGACTTTGATATTTGAACGCTCCAAACTATTTGTCGTAACAACAACCCCATACGTACACATCATCAGGGATTATATAAATGATTAATCTCTATACATGTAAACCTTTCAATAGTACATACCTCTCTACAATAGTACATACCTCTCTACAATAGTACATACCTCTCTACAATAGTACATACCTCTCTACAATAGTACATACCTCTCTACAATAGTACATACCTCTCTACAATAGTACATACCTCTCTACAATAGTACATACCTCTCTACAATAGTACATACCTCTCTACAATAGTACATACCTCTCTACAATAGTACATACCTCTCTACAATAGTACATACCTCTCTACAATAGTACATACCTCTCTACAATAGTACATACCTCTCTACAATAGTACATACCTCTCTACAATAGTACATACCTCTCTACAATAGTACATACCTCTCTACAATAGTACATACCTCTCTACAATAGTACATACCTCTCTACAATAGTACATACCTCTCTACAATAGTACATACCTCTCTACAATAGTACATACCTCTCTACAATAGTACATACCTCTCTACAATAGTACATACCTCTCTACAATAGTACATACCTCTCTACAATAGTACATACCTCTCTACAATAGTACATACCTCTCTACAATAGTACATACCTCTCTACAATAGTACATACCTCTCTACAATAGTACATACCTCTCTACAATAGTACATACCTCTCTACAATAGTACATACCTCTCTACAATAGTACATACCTCTCTACAATAGTACATACCTCTCTACAATAGTACATACCTCTCTACAATAGTACATACCTCTCTACAATAGTACATACCTCTCTACAATAGTACATACCTCTCTACAATAGTACATACCTCTCTACAATAGTACATACCTCTCTACAATAGTACATACCTCTCTACAATAGTACATACCTCTCTACAATAGTACATACCTCTCTACAATAGTACATACCTCTCTACAATAGTACATACCTCTCTACAATAGTACATACCTCTCTACAATAGTACATACCTCTCTACAATAGTACATACCTCTCTACAATAGTACATACCTCTCTACAATAGTACATACCTCTCTACAATAGTACATACCTCTCTACAATAGTACATACCTCTCTACAATAGTACATACCTCTCTACAATAGTACATACCTCTCTACAATAGTACATACCTCTCTACAATAGTACATACCTCTCTACAATAGTACATACCTCTCTACAATAGTACATACCTCTCTACAATAGTACATACCTCTCTACAATAGTACATACCTCTCTACAATAGTACATACCTCTCTACAATAGTACATACCTCTCTACAATAGTACATACCTCTCTACAATAGTACATACCTCTCTACAATAGTACATACCTCTCTACAATAGTACATACCTCTCTACAATAGTACATACCTCTCTACAATAGTACATACCTCTCTACAATAGTACATACCTCTCTACAATAGTACATACCTCTCTACAATAGTACATACCTCTCTACAATAGTACATACCTCTCTACAATAGTACATACCTCTCTACAATAGTACATACCTCTCTACAATAGTACATACCTCTCTACAATAGTACATACCTCTCTACAATAGTACATACCTCTCTACAATAGTACATACCTCTCTACAATAGTACATACCTCTCTACAATAGTACATACCTCTCTACAATAGTACATACCTCTCTACAATAGTACATACCTCTCTACAATAGTACATACCTCTCTACAATAGTACATACCTCTCTACAATAGTACATACCTCTCTACAATAGTACATACCTCTCTACAATAGTACATACCTCTCTACAATAGTACATACCTCTCTACAATAGTACATACCTCTCTACAATAGTACATACCTCTCTACAATAGTACATACCTCTCTACAATAGTACATACCTCTCTACAATAGTACATACCTCTCTACAATAGTACATACCTCTCTACAATAGTACGTACCTCTCTACAATAGTACGTACCTCTCTACAATAGGACATACCTCTCTACAATAGGACATACCTCTCTACAATATTACGTACCTCTCTACAATATTACGTACCTCTCTACAATAGTACATACCTCTCTACAATAGTACGTACCTCTCTACAATAGTACATACCTCTCTACAATAGTACATACCTCTCTACAATAGTACGTACCTCTCTACAATAGTACATACCTCTCTACAAAAGTACATACCTCTCTACAATAGTACGTGATGTTGACCCATTTTTGGTGTGCCTCCTTTTCCTCTTCCTTCTGTAAATCAGCTATTCTCAAACTTCGTCTACTTCGGAGCATGCGTCTTTTCATTAATTTGGAAGGCCTGTTAGCTTCTATCTTCGTCCGTTGTTTGTCACACATCCGACATCGCTGTGCCAAAGTATCATTTAAGTACGAACATGACTTACATGCCCATCTTTCCTTTTTTCTATCTGCATCAGAGGTGTCTTTTAGTTTTTTGTCAAGTTTAAAGTCTTCTTTGTCTTTTTGACGAAGGAAGATTGGTTTAACAGCGTTTCCAGATGTCTCCTGCGTTTTTCTATCGTCTTTGTCTTTCTTCACATATCTTTCTTTGATATTTTGTCTCTTGTTAGGTACATTTGATTTCTCATCATCCTTTTCTTTTCTAGCATTTATTGCTAAAGGCACGGGTTGTTTATCTCCTAACCTGTTTTCGAACAGTCGTTTTTTGTCTTCTATGCCAATTCCTTCCTTTCTCCTTGGTGACGGCAAAACCTTGCGTGGCTCCCATTGTTCCAAACCTCCAGGTTTCTGCCTTTCTTCTATTCTATCGATTATTTTTACAACTAAATCAGAACCTCCTGGTTTCTTCTCTTCCACCTTTTTATCGGGTACTTTTACAACAAAATCAGTACCGCGTTGTTTCTTTTCTTCCCTCTTTTTATCGGGTACTTTTACTACTAAATTGATACCTTCTGGTTTCTTTTCCACCGTCTTTTTATCTGGTTGTTTCACATCTAATTTCTTCTGTTTCCATTCACTTATGTAAGTTTGCTGCGTTTTTCCTGAATGTTCAGTTTCACTGTCGGAATCCTCCGATATTACATCCAGGTAGAATACACTTTGTCTAGCTTCCTCCTCAGTTTTTGTTTCTTTAATATCCTTTTTGGTCTTTACTTTATCAGAAGACTTGCTGTTATCGCCCACAAAGAACTGAAAAAGCTTACTATTTCGAATTACTCCACCTTTTGATTTTTTCTTATTTTCGTTGGAATTACAATCTTTTTCCTCGTGAATTTTGTCCGATGAGCCAGTGATAAATGCGAAGAACCTACCTAAACGTGATTTTCTCTCCTCCTCTTCTTTTCCTTGATCATAACACCTCATTCTGACAGGTTCATTGTCATTGAAGTTGTCCATCATACCCGGTGCTATAGTGTTACATTTTGCACTGTCGTCAAACATTATATCTGACCTCGCAGACTTTGGCGTATCCTTGTTTACCAGGTCACTGCGCACTGTGTTACATATCTCACAGAATCGGTCACACTCCCGATTGATGAAGGTACACGAAGGGCAGTGCCATGTCGTGCGATCCAAGCTTGCCCTCTTGATGCTCTTCTGGAGTCTCTCGTGTGCCACATTTTTGCGGCCACACTTTTTACAGAACCGTTTCTCGAAGTCATTTCCTTCACCGCATCTTTTACACGTCCATCCTGGATCGCTGAAAAACTTGATTCGACTCTGTATCCCTGCAGATAATTGCTTCGCCATAATGTTGAATCTAGGATGAATGGATAAAAACTGTTCTTTCAAACCATAACTAAATATATATTACAAAGATATATTGATATAAATAAGTATGTACTACATTAGATTGACGCAATCAGTATGTTGGTAATAAACGCCTATATTTTACACGTTGTAGCTTAACTCAGTGTAGTTTAACACAACGTAGTTACACATGTGTCAACGTTAGTATGAGGATTTAGGTGGAGTTTCCTTTTAAATTCTAATCTGGTTGACTTCAAGGTTCTCTATATTGACTTTGAATAACGCAGGGGGAAATAAATACATGTTTAGCGTTTGTTAATGGGTAGTCATTCATACCCATACTATCTAAATGGAAACTGAGTAGAAACGTGACCCCGCCATTTTACATAAGCACACACAATCTTTCAGTTCGAATAGTGTATGTTTTATACTACATATTTGAATTGATGTGCATTTAAATCCGTCTACCCAAACTACACAGGATCGAAACATGTATGTATCGCTACGGTGACCATGAGCTGCCGGCGGCAGAACACATACATAACCACGATGGCGACAATATATATCACACTTGTGACAAACACAGCTGGATCACGTACCAGTTTTCTCCTCGTGCGTATATCTAGTTCATGTTTTATTTCCGTATATGTCTATACATTAAACTTCTTCACAATAGGAGTCTGTTCAGCTTTCTCTGAATTAGGTTAAAAACACATGTGGGTCGATCCTGGTACCGAATCAAAAATATATATCAACAAACATGTATAAACACTTAGTGTATCATAAACCTTAGACTTGTACAGTTATAGATCGATTCCCATCGTCGTAAATAAGAATGTTTCGGATGTGGTAACATGTTTTCAGTAAATTTAACGCTTGGTGTGAAAGTGCCAATATTAAACGCACCAATATAATGTCAAGCTCAATTCCACCATAGCAATGATCGAACTTCAGGTATACCATATTCGCGTCGTAACAGGTAATATATGCCTATTTTGACTGCTTTGTAAACCAGAAGAAGGCTCATAGAAATAAAGGTTTGATCCCACGTAGATTGTCGTGTTTCTCCGGTGTTTACTTCCTGTTTGGTTGGTGAATTCATTTGAACGTACACAACCCACAGAAGGCTATTGATCGATACAGGTACACCATTGGAAGTTTGTACAGTTGTGGGACCGCACAACGCACCAAAAATAGCGTGCGCACACCGTGCATACATCGTTCACACACCGTCCGCACATCGTCCACACATGGTGCGCACATCTGTGCGATTTAGCAATCGTTCGCCCCGTTGTGCGCTTCTCTCCGCACAACTGTGCGATTTGGTATCATTTGTAGATCAAAATTACGGAATGACAAAAATACGGAAGGCTTGTATGCGATAATGTACACTGTGTATATATCTGTAATTTCTCATCACAATAATCAAGATTATACAATTTCACAATGCGTGTTAAACAGTATTACAGCGACCGTTAGACTGTCAATAATGGGTTTGGCTCCAAGGTAACAGAACAGGTAAATAACAATTTGATGAGTGTCCGGAGTTTTACCTGACCAGTGCCTGACACACATGTACAGAGCTGATATGCGATACCGTTTGACCGTAATGAATAGGATTTGTTATTTGCATTCGTTTGCCTATGGCTCCCCTTCACCTGGATTTTCACACCCCCGGCCTTACCCGACGAGTTACGTAAGTGCCCCAGGCGGGGAGAAAACTACGGTCCAGGTACATGTACAAAGTGGTTATGTTTACCTGTATACGAGATTGTGTTGTAATTTTCCATGTGTCGATTAAGTGTGTTGAAAAACACAGAAAACACAATTTCTAAATGTAAGAATGTATAGACAGAAAGATTAGTTTATAGATGTTGCTAGAATATAGAAACATACGTAAACATCAAGTTTATATGTTTAAACATAAAACCGTATAAATTGTTAAGGCATTCCTCAATTTACACCAACCACGATTGTTATCGCACAACGTCCGTCCATCGTGCGCACAGATGTGCGCAAGCAATGATCGTCCAGCTTTTTATCGTTCGCCCATCGTGCACACACCGTTCACACACCGTGCACACATCGTGCGCACACCGCACATCGTGTAACGTTGTGCGATCCCACAACTGTAATATGACTTGTAACGAGATACATTTTTGTTCCTCGAACATAATAGTGCCAACAGCGGCAGAGAGGCCTAGTATACGTACTTGTATCAGAAATGTTTAGCTGGAAAGAAATCAAGTGAATCGATACACATGGGCAAATAGAAATTTAAGCAAAAAACGCCAAATTTCAACCCGCCGAAAAATCCCGAATTAATGAAATTACGCTAAGAGATCTGCACTTAATACACGCTCAATACTTATTTAAAAACGCCATGGGTCAGCGAGTAATATATTTATCAGAGGTTGCTTTCAAATCGTAAGTAACTATACAAACATACAGTACTGTCGTGTCCTTACCAGGCTTATACAATTGCCTGAATATATGTATACACTAATGAGAACTGTGCACGACCAAACATCTACATACAACCCGTGTATTAGTAACCTACATACCGTGCACTACTTTATCAATATTCAACCCATGTCGTAGAAACCACTGAGACTTGTGAAGTTAAACAGAGCATGTACTTTTGGACTTTCTTTTTAAGTACGGAGTATAATTTGACTGCAATTTAAAACATATATGATACCCAAAATTAAGGAAGTCTATTTAAACTCCTCGACGCCTTTTCCGCAATTACTGATAATAACATTAACAAATCAAATACATCACAGGACCAGACAGAATAAATGATAAAATGTTAATTTCAATCACTACAATATACAACCTGCTTCTTGAACACCTTTGTCTATCTGTCTTTTAAACGTCAGCCATCGGGTTATCTCTATCCAGGGGGCCCCACCAGATTGTGTATACAAGTATATACTATACTCCATTTTTACACAATGCATGGTCCAAATCCACAAAACGTTTAATTATATATACAAACACGTGTACACCAGTAAGGTATACAGTGTCTTAATTACATGTACTTGTCATTGATGTAGCGTCAACACATATACACTTTTTTAAACGATATATTTCATTTCATCTTACGTGGACATAATGCAGTTTGTAACGTGAGGAAGACATAGATAAGGTATGCATGTACAAAGATGTGGATTATTATATACACATATGTATATACGTATGACTGGTTACTCACCTGTGATATCAACATGATGCATACGTACACCTGCGCTGTAATTGCGGGTGCCCTCGTACGTACACACTTATATACAGTATGTTAATATAAATTGAATTGAAAAATGTACCATACACGTACCTGCTGACACACACCACACAAACACATTTTGTTTATTCTAACTTGTCATAGGTACAGTTGTGGTACCGCACAACGCACCAGAAATAGCGTGCGCACACCGTGCATACATCGTTCACACACCGTCCGCCCACCGTCCCCACATGGTGCGCACAACTGTGCGATTTAGCAATCGTTCGCCCCGTTGTGCGGTTCTCTCCGCACAACTGTGCGATTTGGTAGCATTTGTAGAACAAAATTACGGAATGACAAAAATACGGAAAGCTTGTATACGATAATGTACACTGTGTATATATCTGTAATTTCTCATCACAATAATCAAGATTATACAATTTCACCAGAGGTATCATACATTATTATACGTCTCTGTACAGCGACCGTTAGGCTGTCAAGAATGGGTTTGGCTCCAAGGTAACAGAACAGGTAAATAACAATTTGATGAGTCTCAGGAGTTTTACCTGACCAGTGCCTGACACACAGAGTTGATAAGTTTGACCGTAATGAATAGTATTTGTTATTTGCATTCGTTTGCCTATAGCTCCCATTCACCTGGATTTTCAAACCCCGGCCTTACCCGACGAGTTACGTAAGTGCCCCAGGCGGGGGAAAATTACGGTCCAGGTACATGTACAAAGTGGTTATGTTTACCTGTATACGGGATTGTGTTGTAATTTTACATGTGTCGATTAAGTGTGTTTAAAAACACAGAAAATACATTTTGTAAATATAAGAATGTAGAGACAGAAAGATAAGTTTATAGATATTGCTAGAATATAGACCGTTCACACACCGTGCACACATCGTGCGCACACCGCACATCGTGTAACGTTGTGCGATCCCACAACTGTATATTGTGTAAGGACGTACCGTACAAATTGACAAAATACATTTAACGCATGAGTGAGGTTCACCATATATAGCATATAGACACAAGAATAATACACTTACCTGTTTGTGTGTAGAAGTTTTGATCTGTACTCACTGTTTATATAGAGCTGTTGATATCCCCATACACTTGGCACTTTTAAATAACAATGGGGTAAGTACTCTATAAAACTCGTACCGGATACAATATCCGGATATTTATTATTGTAGCATAGTTAGATTGTAGGAAGCTAATATAGACGTGAAGTAGTAAAATCTAGTGAAATATTTTATATCCGTTATCTGAAACTAATTAAAATCATTTACCTGTAGTTAGTATTCAAACAAATAAAACTATTAATCTAGGATTAATAAAATTAAACCATCATTTCAGGATAAATTTATTACAACTTTTTTTATATGGATCATGTCTGTATTTAAGAACGATCACTTTAATCTAGTTGTATACACTGTTCTCAGCCTAGATATGACGAGGTTTACCTCTAGAGTGAGGTTCAAGTGACACCTACATCAAATACAGGGTGATTGTCCTGGCGAAGTACAACTACAGAGTACTGATGAGGAGTCATGTTACCTACGTACATAGGTAACATATACTAGTAACCACAGATCTGTGTGAGCGGGGATCCGGAAGAAATGTCTGGTTACAAGATCCTAACGCATTTTTACCCGGTAATGTTACATGTACGCTATTACACTATATATACATGTATACACCACTCTGTCCTATTGATATTAAACATATTGGTTTAAACACAAATATCTCAACTATACGCAATAAATAAGTAAACCAATGAAATCTATTAAACCTGAACATTATAAAGTTTTAAATATTAAACAATAATTACATATCTATGTTTTGATATGTTTCTCTTGTTACATGTATTTAAAAATAAATACTATTAATAATGATTTAAGTCATCATTCCCTGCCTATTTATACATATGAATGTTGGTTAATTACCTCAAATATGTAAATAATTATACTAAACATCAAGTGAAAATATGCAAAATGTCATATATTCTTAAAAAGCAAAATTTAGGCAATAATTTAACACATAAAAATTACTTTCGTATTGTATTTTAGAATAAAAATCGTAATATGCAGTCATACAAGACAATTACATTAACTTATACCGAATCAAAAATCAATTATACAAAAAATACTATCAGGTTTCAAACACTGCTTTAATTTTCTCTTAAGGACAGCAGCAGCACTTTATTTACAAACATCCTTGTACTCGCGACTGTTGTAATATCATATCATAAACATATGCCTATGCAGAGCAAACTTTCATTTATTTGGGATGCATGAAACGTGGCATTAGCATATCACCAATATTGAAATACTGATATTTGTATCGAAAAAGACATTTCACGGATTTCATCCAAAAACCCTTCTCTTGGTAGTAAACACTTCATCTAAAACTCATTGTTATTATATTTAAAAACATTATTTTAGGCGAGTCATTCGATTTTCTTCACGGTCGGTGAATTGATTTCATCTTTATATAAAAATATATAATACTATTGGTTTATAAATCATGGAATTTTAATATTTCAAAAAATGTTGTATATAGAAAATACGTATGATGATACTTCGCTCTACTCCGTGTACATATCAAGTAATTTTAGAAATGCTTTCTGATCATATGAGGACATTATGATACAGAAAATGGAGACTGACGAGTTTGCGATATAACTCAATGATCAATATTTAAACAATGGTCTCATGTAAGTTTTTTGGGTGCCTAAAGGTATTGTTATACAAAAGAGTATCAAGTTATAATTACTTCAGTTAATACTTAGCGTGACAGAGAAGCGAGTAGGTGTGGCCAGATATGTCTCTGGTGTGGCATAGTTGTGGGTATTGATTCTAAACACTGGTTGTTATTAAATTGACTTGGATATATTAATAATTTGTTGAATCAACCAACATATCTACACATGACGTTAGTTGCATATGACAATAAATGAAAATAATACCCACTCGTCTGTCGACATCAGTACTCAGTCGGATGCAAAATAACTCTCTAACTCATAAAACCGATTCGAGTGAGCTCCCTTTGAATAACTCTCCTGGCACCTCGATGCTGTCAAACAGTGATGAGATAGAGAGGGAACCGTATGATCCTCTTCAAGGACTGAGAGACGAATACAATTTAAAAAAATGTTATTACTAGTCATTTTAATGATGAACATACATGTAACACACACGTGTGATAGCACAATTTGTCGTCCTTCTAGGACTTATCGGAAATCTTGGTGACCCAAAAAATGGGAGGTGTATAATTTTCCTTAACTTTATGAATTGTAAGATAGTAGAGTACTTGTAAATATCAACATTACAGTAATATTATGTGAAGTGCGTTCATTAAGAACCCTGCCACTGCTCAAACAAGATACTTGTGGCCATTAAGGTCACGACAAATATCGGCGGTGACTAAAAAAATCAAAACAATCGTAATGTACCGTCAGAAATGTATAACATTCTCAATAAATATTTTTTGTCAAGTGACATTCTCCTCACACAGAAACTAAACTTGACGAATCGTGTTTCCAGGCATGTTCTTATGTGAACTGTTTCCAAGATCGTTGTGGAAGTACCAAACACTACTGGAAAAAAAGACTTAAGGTCTAAGCTCAGGCTGTTATCCTTTTCTGGCAGATGCTACTGTAGCAATGGCCATAGCTCATTGTTTTGTGTTCCTACGGACAAAAGTTTGAATGCAGATACTGGTTTTTTCCAGGTTACAACTTCATTGCATGTGCAAAGAATATAAGGTGACAGAATATCAACAAATTCTAGATCCAAACCTCAGGGGTTTGTTTCTACATAAAGGCTCAACCATAGGAGGGGTATTGTCTTCAAGGAAGATACCACCACGTGCACGTTCATCTCTTTTCTCCTTCTTTCTTGTGTAGGTTAACAACGTAAAAACAATGGAAAGTAATACAATATTGAAAGTATTGAATGAGGTTTTCCCTGATTTATTAAGAAATCACCCTATAATTTAATAATAAAAAGAGACGGATGCAAACAATTTATCCGGATTTTTATTACATACTTTTCTAATATATTATATAATGTTGATATGTATTTAATTGCAAGATACATGCATAGGGATAAAACGATGAAATATAAGTGTATGAATATGTGGGATAAATTTATGAATTGATGAATGCAAGAGAGATGGTGGGATTGTGTGTGTATGTGTGTGTTGGCGTGTGTGTGTGTGTGTGTGTGTGTGTGGTTTCAAATTATATTATGTTATAATACTAATGAAACCGGAAACCGGATCAAATTTCCGGAAAACAAATCACTACAAGACCGTGATAACGCGAGTGCTAAAGAAATGTACATGAAATGAAAAATGAATTATTTTCAGAATAAGGAATATGAGAAAAAAATGGATTAACTATCCAATGTTCTTCTCTAATCTGGGGCAACTCATCCCCAGACAACCCACGAATGATGTAATTATGCCTGAGTAATAAGGCGCTAGGTGAATGCATCTTTCTATATGTGTTCAGAAATCCCGTATTATTTTTAACTGCAGCTTCCCTCTTATTAATTTTCTCATCTCAAATGCGATTTATGAGGTTTTTTTCGGTAGGTTTTACAAGTTTTCTTTGAAATTGCCCCTTGAATTAGATTTTGAGTTGTTTGTATCTGTGTTTACATTTATCTCATAGTACATAGTAGATTAGCACCGGGTGAAGAAGCGGAATGAATTTTCAAGTTCTAGTCACATTCCTGCAGATTAGAGAAGAACAATGGATAATTAGTATACAGTCGTGTGTGTTGGTATCCTGTGGGTAGGACCCATGAGCACCTGTGTTCAGGCGTCTTTGAAAAACATCAAAATTATTGATGGGTGTTGAGTTTCGGTGTATCAGGTTTCAAGACGTCGCCGATCAATGATGTTTTATTTTATGGGTGCTGCTTGTTTCACATATGTCTCAAAACCGTTTATATTTGCTTCATTCTTTGTCTATATGATGATCATTCTCTCTACACATACGACATTTGTCAAGGTCACTTCATTCAGATCGAATTCAATGAGAGTTCATTTAACATATGAATATCCAGATAATTTCTAAGTAGAAACAAAACCGAACAGATACGTGTACACATTATCTATTACATGGCTTACATCACTTCTTACCACGTGTAGATATCGGAAGGTGACAGCTTAAGGGTTGTATCTTCACAGATTAGGAGGTCAACATCAGATGTGAACGGACACGAACTCTCAAGTTATACAATGTTGTGGACTTATCTGAAATATCAATATGAAATCACGCGATTCATGTGACATCCCGCAGGTGACCGGTGTTTTTTCGGGTACTGAGTTAAACCTTCTCATTAACATAAAGCACAGTGTGATACCAAACACCATGGTGCATAAGAAAAAACATTGAACGACGGAGAAGAAAAACAATTCAATTATAATACGAAATAGTTTCTTTAATTCCCATGAAATAAAGATTACGTAATTAGGAGTACTACTTCCCTTTATAGGGCCCCTCGTAATCTTATCTGGATACAAAGTATAAGAGGCAGGGTCAGCACTCATTGTTCATTACTAACGAGACATAGAAGTGAACAAACATGGCGAAGATATTAGTAATCCTAGTGGTATGTTTAGTTACCTGTTACGCTAATGAAGTTTACGAATATGAACAAGCCCCTATCGAGGATGAGACTGAGTTATTGTTAGATCTTCTGTCACAGCCAATCATTCCAGAGAGATTCAAGTCCGCCGAGTTCCTAGAAGCATGGGTAAGTCAGATATTTTACATATAATATGATCAGTCCGGATATCGTGCAAATCCATAAATGAACAGTTTTACACTTGATATCACTTTTGCGTGTTAAATGTTAAATCATGTCGCTGAGAAATAAAGTAAAACTACTGTTAAAACTACCTCAATAGGTATAAAACAAATCAAACACTGCTTACACATTAAAAGTTTGTTTAAACTCAATCATATGATTTTTAGGACACACACCATCTAACATATCAATATTAGGATACACAACATCTAACATAACATTGTAAGGAAACCCAACATCCAACACATCAATATTAGGACACACAACATATAACATAACATTGTTAGGACACACAACATATAACATAACATTGTAAGGAAACCCAACATCCAACATATTAATATTAGGATACACAACATCTAACATAACATTGTTAGGACACACAACATATAACATAACATTGTTCGGACACACAACATCTAACATAACATTGTAAGGAAACCCAACATCTAACATAACATTGTTAGGACACACAACATCTTACATAACATTGTTAGGACACACAACATCTCACATAATATTGTAAGGAAACCTAACATCCAACAAAACATTGTTCGGACACCCAACACCTAACATAACATTGTTAGGACTCCCAACATCTAACATAACATTGTTCGGACACACAACATCTAACATAACATTGTAAGGAAACCCAACATCTAACATAACATTGTTAGGAAACACAACATCTAACATAACATTGTTAGGACACCCAACATCTAACATAACATTGCTAGGACACACAACATATAACATAACATTGTTAGGACACCCAACATCTAACATAACATTGCTAGGACACACAACATATAACATAACATTGTTAGGACACCCAACATCTAACATAACATTGTTAGGACACACAACATCTCACATAATATTGTAAGGAAACCCAACATCCAACAAAACATTGTTCGGACACCCAACATCTAACATAACATTGCTAGGACACACAACATCTAACATAACATTGCTAGGACACCCAACATCTAACATAACATTGTTAGGAAACCCAACATCCAACAAAACATTGTTCGGACACCAAACATCTAACATAACATTGTTAGGACACACAACGTCTCACATAATATTGTAAGGAAACCCAACATACAACAAAACATTGTTCGGACACCCAACATCGAACATAACATTGTTAGGACACACAACATCCAACAAAACATTGTTCGGACACCAAACATCTAACATAACATTGTTAGGACACCCAACATCCAACAAAACATTGTTCGGACACCCAACATCTAACATAACATTGTTCGGACACACAACATCTAACATAACATTGTTAGGACACCCAATATATAACATAACATTGTTCGGACACACAACATCTAACATAACATTGTTCGGACACCCAACATCTTACATAACATTGTTAGGACACCCAACATCTAACATAACATTGTTAGGACACACAACATCTAACATAACATTGATAGGACACACAACATCTAAAATAACATTGCTAGAACACCCAACATCTAACATAAAACTGTTAGGACACCCAACATCTAATATAACATTGTTAGGACACCCAACATCTAATATCACATTGTTAGGACACCCAACATCTAATATAACATTGTTAGGACACCCAACATCTAACATAACATTGTTAGGACACCCAACATCTAATATAGTCCTTGCTAAAATATATCGTTGTTAACACTCCTATAACATTCTTTAACAACAAATATTGCATTGAAACACCGAATATATTCCAGTTCAATATCTCATGGTTACATGTAATGGTTAATTGTCATTTACACCATGTAAGCAATAACTAATAAATATCTTTACAAAAGATTAACAGCATCTTTACATTAATGTAATGGTTAAAATGGTTTATTCTTTTGATACGAAAGTAATGTATAGTTAATTTATGTTCTTGTCCTTTTCCTTGGTCAGGGCATCAAATCCAGGTTAGGTGCTTTCAAATGGACTGATTGTGGAGGAGCTGGAGCTAAAGTTCAGAATGTATCCTTGACCCCTGACCCGTTAAATTTCCCTGGTACATTTACACTTGGGTTCAAGGCAATGATCAGTACATCTGTCGTTGCCCCTATTAAGGTGAGATAAGATATTAAATAGCAAAAAAGTTACATGTTTGACATAATATTGATATCAAGTATAATAACGTTTTCTCTGTAATGCTACAGGTATTATAATTTCATTTCGCATTTGATTGAATATTACAAGGTAGCACGAGTGGTACATTTCACAGTTATACGCCAAAATAATGTAGTATACACTAATATATCTGACATGTGAGACCAGATAAAATAGACACTGTCTCTCAAGACGCTACTCCACTTATACGCATGTCCTTGTTTTGCAGGGCGAACTTCTGATTGAGAAAAAGGTTGGGTCTACTTACGTCAAGATTCCATGTATAGACAACTTCGGATCGTGTACCTATGATGACGTATGCGTTTTGCTTCAATCCGTCACCTGTCCCGATCCCTTCGTGAAAGCAGGAATCGACTGTCAGTGTCCATTTAAAACAGTACGTAAACGATTAGTCGTGTAAATAATAAACACTTGTTAGAGAGGTGTAATATATTTTGGTTTGATAGTTCAATACAACATGTTCATATGCATGTACTTAAATTCATGAAACCAAAGTGATTGTTTTTATTGTTGGACTATATTCCCAATATATGTACGATTTCATATGTTCCAAAATGACGTTCATTAATGGACTCTTTCAAAAATAGATTCTGCACATCTTATTTGTTTATTAAATAGTGTTGTCGTATGTATGTCCTTTCTAAAATATACCTTCGTTCCACAGGGCAACTACAATGTCCCAACGGCATCCTTCGAGGTAGACGCTGTGGCCTTCCCATCTGGGGACTACCACGTCCGGGGATCAGCTTCCAACGGTGGCAAGGTCATGGCCTGTCTTGACCTTTACATGTCTGTCGCTTAAGTGATTTTATGCGAGATTATCGCGTTATTAACCGACCTTGGTGGTATCTTCAATCAAGCGTGCCAGGTGCGCTCCAATCATTCTGCATGTATATCGAACCCATTGAAACATGTTCATTTTAGGAATACATTTAGCTGTACTAAGTCCTCCCATCTGTGTGTATATTTATGTTATTTTGTTTGCAAGGTATAGACGTAATATATGTTGAGAACATTCTATATAAAAAGATTCATATAAAACAACCTATTTTATTCTTATTTCTTTCCCTCCTTAAATACTTTTAAGTATACTTTGTTGATAATGGTTTTAAATGTCATGTCAAATACAGCGCTCGTTCTTTAACTAATTGTGCTGTTAGGCAGACATTGTTTTGCTATCCTTAATCCCAGTAACACATATTACAAAACAACTGCTAATTTTGGGAGATCATATGACGAAAACACACCATTCGGAATGGGCACAACAAGTGTTTCTTCTTTCCACGATGTGTAGTGAGATACAGCAGTCCAGTTATTACTCCGAACCTACAGAGATGTTTGACAGGGCCAGGCCTTATCTCATGACCAATTCCTTATAATGAACTAGGGACTATAATTTCTTTGGGTGGTCAGAACCCAGTGCAAATCTTGGTAGCTTGTTTCTAAGTTGTTTGTCAAAGGACTAAACTCTCAGAAGCGGAGGCATGACCGTATTTGTAGGCTAGCTCTCATGGCTTGAATATGTTCATCTTTTCACATCCAGGAATTGGTTACTATTATGTGGTTGTAATATCTACCGTGTCCATGGTATTACTCCCCTACTTGGTCCCCAGTGGCTGGGAATGACGATTTTGATAACATATAAGAATTCATCTCCTCATGCCAAACAAACAATTGCAAATATGCATAAATAATTATTTTTTCTTTGTTTTCATATAAAAGATACTCTAATCTGATTGGTCGAAAAATTCATTTCATTGTTCTATGAAAGAAATACTTTCGTTACGTCGGCAACTTCAAAATAATTCACCAAAGAACTCCGGTGGCCTTTGCTCTGAATAGGTAGATTCCGTTGGATTTCATATTTATCGAAGTTTATCTTTACATAATATGATTAAAAACTCAAAGAAATGAAGGATGCTCGCATTAAGGTTTTTCAGGGGAACATTTAAAGACTGCATATATATTCGGGGGTGGGGGGTGGGGGGTAGTCGTGGACCTGACACTTTTTGTCAAAGTTTGCAAAGAAAAAACATTAATCACACTAATAAAGTTCGACGAGTACAGTACACGTTCACTATGATTCAAATGCATGGTTTACCATGACCAGATTATTCCTAATCAATGTAACTGTAGAAACTGGGAAATAAATGCTTACAACTCGTTCAATTTTCTGTGAGATGAAAATGGCAATAAAAACGTGGTAATAACTCAAAAACACCAGCAATGTGGACTCAATACTGTTGAGGCACCATCCGCTTGGATACTGATGTATTCAGCACAAGGAAAACAGTGCCCCGTTAAAACACTCAGGGACCCCTGCCTTTTCAATCACTGCAGGAAGGAGGCCATGTCGTCCCCCGCCACAGAGGAAATATTGTTTTCCAACAGAGCTGTTTATATGCGGTATATCCAGGAACTTGAAATGCACACATACATACACAGCACGTACACTGCCTTCGAACACAGGGGTTCGTTACAAATGTCTGAAATACACATATGCTATACTAAAAGCATTTGGAACGAACACTTGTGCTCTGAGCAACCGGCTTCGACTTGTGGCATATTATGTTTATGTCCTAGAACAATAACGAAAGTTCTGTAAGAAGCTATAGTCAATGATATTCTACCAGCCAAAAAAAACACACTTTACGTGAAACACTGACATCCATAGTTCAACCGAACACGAGTCTTCAAATAATTCCCGTGACACATACACAAATTGCGCCATCACACAGTCACCGACATTCAACACAGGTGTTCATGTCTACTTGCTTTAAATGCAACGAATGTAATGCTGCCCGTGATACAATCAACTCAGCTATCTTCTTCAAATAACTTTCTTTCTGTCGGCCTCTCATCCTGCTCGTCGTTTGCACACTTCGTCTTTAATTTTGGACAAAAATAGGCCAGACATCATGTTTTGCCACCTCGCAACAGTTAACTAAAATGGCCGATGACTTCTCTCCACATAAAATAGTACATAACCCACGCATATTATCGCACTACCGTCCAACAAGCATTTAAATATATATAAAAATAACATGAAAAAAACTCACAGGAACACAGACGAGGTCATGATTTTTTTTTTCGCAAGACGGTTACTAATGAAAGTGAGATAATAATGTACAGACGTACAGCATCAATGTTTTGTATCTGTTAGCCATGGAGATGAAATGCTCACATGTAGGATTTCTTTTAAACAAAAAAACCCATACACACATACACCTATACAACTGTTAGTAGATATCCAGTTCAAGCATACAAAATGTAACCTGTCATTTAAATATGCTGCCGTTACCGTCACCTATACACGTCCTTCTCTGTTCTTACTAAAAAAATCAAATTTCAAAGCAATATTCCCGAGGCATTAATCAACCGATTCCTGCGCTATCGGTCTTATCTGAAAACTGGTTAAAATCACGATCTCAAAAATGTCTGGTTTTTACGAAGTCGGTCCAGGAGTGAGAATTTCGGAGACTGTTGAAATTTGCTCTTTGTTACTACATGTAGTTAAAATGGGCAAAGGTACTAAATGCGTCGTTCTTGGAAGTTGTACACACGGAGCATGCGAACGCAGCATTTTTCTGAAGTAGTTTGGATACCATTTACGATGATACAAAACAATTCCGAGTTCTCTATCTTGAATAGGTGTAAAATGTGAAAGCTTCACGGTCCTTCAAAAACAAAATCAAATTTCAACGCGATATTCCCGAGGTATTCATCAATCAATACCTGCGCAGTTGGTCTCATCTTCAAGCTGGTAAAATAACGATTTCAAAAATATCTTGTCTTACGAAATTGGTCCAAGGATTTTGGAAACTTTCTTGTAAAGTTTCATTACAATCAAACGTATAGTTTCTGAGAAAACGCGCAGACAAAACTTTAAGGCGGATATAGAAGAAATAACAAGTACTAATTGAATTGGGGGACCATTATTGAAGTCCCCGAAAACCCGCAGTTATGTTCGCAGTGCCAAAAATACGCGTACATGTACATATGATATTTGAACAAAATCGACGGATATTTAATTTAGCACAATCAGAGGCTGTGGTAGCCAACTTTGTTAACTGATCGGGAACAAAAGGTGTCTTGCACATCTAGGCATATGCCTCAATACTCATGTTTAGTTTCATTGGAATCCAAAGTATAGTTTCTGAGAAAACGCGCGGACAAAATAAACGGCGGAACTAAGAGAAGAAGAAGAAGAAGAAGAAGAAGAAGAAGAAGAAAAAGAAGAAGAAGAAGAAGAAGAAGAAGAAGAAGAAGAAGAAGAAGAAGAAGAAGAAGAAGAAGAAGAAGAAAGAAGAAGAAGAAGAAGAAAAAAGAAGAACAAGAAGAAGAAGAAGAAAAAGAAGAAACGGAGTAAAACCAATAAGTCCCCCACTTCGTTTTGGGGACTCAATAATAATAAGAAACGGAGTAAAACCAAAAATTATTCCACTTCGTTTGGGAGACTTAAGAATTGCCTAAATTGCTCTTTTAGAATAAACCAAACATGGTCCTGCGCAAATTGTTGAGGTGGTGACAACAAAAATCTGCTTTGACACAACACATAACTCACATACATCGATGAATTGGGTTTTTATTGATCCAAAGCCGCCTTAATTATCACCAACAACTGCTACATTTTGCCAGTAGAGTCCTCGGTGTTTAATCGTTCAAAATTTCCCACTTGAGCGCCGCTATTTTGTATGTTATGCAATAAGGGAGTGACTTATCAAGAAACTGTTCTGATCCGGACCGAAAACAAAACATCTTTTTTCATGTAGAAGAATTCCGGACCGCCTCATTTGTTGATTAGTCATTTTTCAAAAATGGCCGCCGCAAAATTTCATAAGCAGACGCCAGGTCGTCTGAGCGTTTGTACCGAGCGGGAAAATATCAAGCATGTTCATGTTAAAGACTTTTAAAAGATGGAAGGATTTGACGAGCAGACGTTCGGATAAAATGTGGAATTTCTCCGAAAGTAAGAATGTCACAAAGGTTTCATATAGGTGGGGTTTTTTCACTATTAAAATTGATTTTTATCTGACGCAGTTGGAATTTTTAAGATATCTCGTTTTTTTGTTTTTTTTTATTAATGTTATATAAATTTTATGTTTAATTATCAAAAATTACGTCATCTGGGGTACCCTTGGCTGCTGGCCGAACTACATTCTTTTTTGGCGTGGCATATTCTGGTGCACGGTTACATGTACATCTGGGGTTTAACTCACATCTAACATACCCTCACAGGGAACAAATCAAATCAAAACAAATCAAAAGTTTAGTTAACGTCGGTATGGTTAAAACAATACAACATTAACTCTAATGAGCTATCAAAACCGACACATACAATGACATGCACAGTTACACAATAAATATTTGGCAAGAAACATATTAAAAGATGAGCACTATCTAATAGAGAGGTGACATAAATAGAGGTAAGTTTTAGCTAAAACATGTATACTGTATTGGGAGCCTATGTGATTTGTCTGCATGTGTTGCAATTGCATTTTGGCCCATACCAGCTGTTTATTAGAGTATTAAATTGTGCTAGTGTAGTTGTTGTTCTGAAGTGGTCTGGTAGGGCATTCCATATTTTAGGTGCTTCAGATCGAAATGAGTGTTTACCATACTTTGTAGTCCTAATATGTGGTATATCTGCTGTGTTGTGATATCTGAATGTATATGTTTTTTTCTGTGATGTTGATAAGGTCGTGTTGGTATGTTGGTGTCTGTTTATTTGTGATTTTAAATACTTCTAATGAAAAAAATCTGACTCGTCTGATTTTGAGTGATGGTAATTTTGAGCGGGCTAGTAAATTTTCATATGTATTTTCGTGTTCATCGTAAATAAATTTTAATGCCCTTTCTTGGATTTTTCCATTTTTTATGTGTTTGTCTCACCGCAAAAGTGTCATGTAAGTTGACAGAAATTAAAATGAGAGAATAAATGAATGATTTATTGTAAGTTTGACTAATCTGTTAAGGTGTTTTCCTATGCGTTTGAGTGAGGTGAGCTGTCTAGATGCTTTTTTTCAGATGTTGGATACGTGTGTGTGAAAATTTAACTG